TTAAAACTACATCGAGAAATATGTATTTATTTATGAATTACTTAAATTAACAAAACATAAAATCAAAATCAAATAACAAAAATACAAATTCTGCATAAACATAGTTTAGGAGTGTTAAATAAGTTTTGGTAAAAAAATAAAGGACTTTGACATTGGCACCTAGTGCCGGACGGGTTAATCTTCAAACCCCAAGCGCCGGACATTCTAAAACTTTTAGCATCTATCACATATGTAGGCATCTCCACATTCTGGAACGTCTGCACATGCTTCATGAGCCCATTATTGGCATCTGGAGCATTGTATCCAGTCCTCGTCGTGGTCTTCTAAACACACTACACAAGTCGTTTTTTCTATATTTGATACTTCAGTTAACGGCTCCTTTTTGTTGTCGTTATTGCCACGTTCGGTTTGTTTACTCATGGGGAATCTTCATAGCTTCAGCCAAGTCGTAAGCTAACTTCAAAAACTCGTTTTTTATCAGGGGCAGATATCTATTAGACAAATCTCTTATGTGGTCCACTAAAACTTGCTAATACTCGGGTGAGAAGGTTTTTGTGAATCTACCAACTTTTGGTTGCAACGTGACTTCTTTTCCACTGCTCAATGTCGTTATTTTATCATGTACTTTTTGGAACATTGTAAAGTGACGAAGCTGCCCTCAAACTCATTTTTTTGGACAAAATCTTGTTCATCGCAGTTTTTAAACTTTGCTGATCCCATTTTCCTTTTTTTTTCTCTCTTGCATTTTCAAATATCTCTCTCCTTCTACCCTGTAAAACAACAAACAATCATCATTACAAGAAGTACAAATGCTTCATAAAAAAGCTAACCTATAAACTGTCCGGTGGTAAGGGACACCTTTGTGTCCGAAAGTAGGGGACAGGAAACGTCCAAAATTACGTGTTTCATACTAAAACTGTTTAGGTATTTAATAAAAACTTTCACAATATAATAATTATAGTGAAACACTGTCTTTATTAACAAATAACAAAAACTATTAAGGATAAAACCATAGCAGTAATACTTACTTGAAATTTACGTGACGCAACGCTTTCCCACCAAAAACAGCAATTCACGGCTTCCACCACGACTGTGCGCCTCACTGGCAAATCGCGTTGCGTGATCCTGTCTCGCTACGTTCCCCCGCACCCCTTTCACCGATTTATAAATAGATCGCGTTGACGTTTGTCAAAATAGTATGAGTGTCCGGCGCTAGGTGCCGTCCGGCGCTACGGGACTTCCCCCTATATACATATACTAGCTGATCCGGCAAACGTTGTATTGCAACAAAAAAAAATTAGGGATAGGTCACCCTTACCATTCAAAATTGTGAATCTAAACCATTCCCAGATCCCCTTGAACACACACAAAAAATTTCATCAAAATCGGTCCAGTCGTTTGAGAGAAGTTCAGTGACATACACACTCACAGAAGAATTATATATATAAAGATAACTATATACATCATCGTAATAAATCATTTATTACAGTGTAAGTATTTTTTTTTACAAATCAATCCCTCTTAAATTGGAAATGATGATATGTAACTTATTTTACAATAATGCAGAAAATTAGCTTCGACGACTGCAGGAGTAATGAACTGTGTTGCAACCGCCGGCCTACTCTACTGGAGTTATCACAGTATACTTGTTGATTGGAACAGTTTATTTACTTAATACTAATACTTAAAATACTTTAAATAGTACACTTACTATTTAAAGTGAGGGTAAGAACTACCATTTAAAGTAAGAAACTCTAGTGATACACTTACCACTAGTGATTCTTTCTATTAAGTTACATTGAAATAAAAGCCTAAACTGTTACAATAAATTTATCCATAATGTGTAACAAAGGTTAAGTTCGTGCTATTAATAATATATTATCAATTCAAGCACAACAAGATATTAAATATATAACGTTCATACGTGTAAAATAATAACTTTAGCTTTAAACGTACAGTCATTGTTTAGAGATTATATGTTTTATTTATATTAATAACAAAACAAGATGGATTATATCAATAAAGGTCTCAGTATACCAATTTATCTAAATTCTGAATATAATTAAAAGACTAATTAGGCTTGCAGAAAACTTTGTATTTTTATATTCGTTGTTACTAGTTACGAAAGGTCGCAGTAAAATCTGATAAAAGCTATTTTATAAGCATTTGTTCTACGTATACAACCGACGCAATTCCATCAATCTGTCCAAACGTGAGCTAGACAAGCGTGTTTTCCACTACCTCCGACATTAGGCAAGGAATAAGCAACACACCGTTACCTGTCGCAACAAACTTTCGCAAATCACTTTTCTTTTTGGAATCTAGTCTCTGGAATTCAGGTATTTTGGAGTATACTTACTTCTATCAAGGCTTGTCTTATCTTGCAGTAGTCAGTTTTATTATCTATTAGTAGATAAGTTATGTTCTTCGGCCATTCTACAAGGTTTATGTCATGTACTCGTATCTATTATTGTGATGAGCTGCGCTATCTATACTCAAAGTATATTCTCACAAATGCATTTTATCCTGAAGTCCAACAACTAAAGATGAGTAAAATTTAAAACTAATAAATTGTAACTGAAAACATTAAGTTAAAGGATTTCCTCGACTAACATTGAAAGGCAACATAACTCGTTCACTGACTCGATTATAAAGTGGAAATTTAATTATAAAATAGTACTGAACTTAAATAAACTTGTAAGTTAACCCTCCCGACTTGATCTAAAGTTGGCAAGTGGAGAAGGGCCCGAGACGTAAAGTAAGCGTTATCTACGAGTATATTTTGCTTTGGACTCTTTATGAGTTTCAAACGAGATCCGTCACGCGACGTTAACTCGGAATAGATGTGATAAAGTGGCCGCTAATCTGTCCTATTGGGGCCGCACTTAGTACACTTTATTAATCACAAAGCTTACAAATTACACTATACTTCCTGCGGCGTGACACCTCGCTTCGGCGTATGTTAATTTTATTGTCGACTCTATTGGACGATTTGGTCACCGTTACAACATACTTTTGTTGGGGTGGAAAGTGCTTGAATAATGTAAAAATAAATTACCCTCTTTACTTGACAAATTCAAATAAAAAATAGTATTTTAAATTGTATTCTTGTTAAACGTCACGCATATAAATACAAGCTGTAAGTTTCTACACTTCACAATTCAGAATCTTCAGTGCTATTTGCTAACCCAATAGAAGTGCATTAACTATGCATTAGACATTCGATCTCGATGTTCGCTACAAATATATTCACAATAGCAATTTGTCATCGTGTAGGTAGCTTCTGCACTGTATATAAGGACTAAGTCAGTACCTACTTAAAGATACTAATGTAGGTGAGTGAAACTGAAATAGGTTCGACATTAAAATAAGGTTACCTTGAATCGACCTTTGTATACATATATTACCATTGCACATTTATTATTCTTATCGAGACGTATTTTGTTCAGAGTGTTTATGCACAATTTTATTCTTTAATCGCAAAATTTACACTTTAAACGTGGGGTTCTCGACATGACGCCTTATGCAAAGCAGGTGCTACCTGATACGTGAGCTCGTGGACAGAGTTAGAAATGGTGTAAGCCTCACACGAAGGACTCACGAAAACTAATTTAATGTTAGCAAGGCACAAGGTACAATTTTGTGTTAATAAACCTAGTCTTCCACTTCAGTTACTTAAAATACTAAAAATGTGTAACAATAAAAGTAATACTATTTTAAGTGCTCGTAAGTCACATTTTTGTTAAGTTTCGTATCCATTTGAGGCAATTTACACCATACGCCGAACACGACACCACGCTTATCCGGTGTTGATCGCGTAAAATGCTCATATCGGGGTGGAAACTTACAGAATTGTTATAAAATAAAATCGTAATAAAGGAAGATTGAGCGAGTTACTGCGTACGTAGGTAGTACGAGTACTTATTAGTATTTGGAGATAAAATGAAGTTGGCCCGCTTTGGGCAATTTATTGGGGTAAGTTATGGGCTGCGCGCGGGCTCGAGCGGCTAATTTATTCGCCGTGCACATAAATTACTTGATTATGAATTCAAGTTAGCTCCACTGAATTGTTTGTCTGTTGTTGTAAGCAGCGCTTTTATATAACAAACAAGGATATTATAATTTACCAAAATCTTGTTTTATACGCCTCTGAATAAACTTACGGTATCATGATATATACTTACTTGAGTAAAAAGAAGAGATGAAACATGGCGATATCGATAAAAAGGTATACTTAGATGAAAAAGGGCAGCTAAATGCTAGAGCACATATAGTCATGAAATTTAATACGTGCTAAAATATAAATGGGGAGCTAAAGTAGAGACAATCTAATAAAAAGCAATAGTGGGGATTATGTAGAACACCAATGGTAAGTCAAGTTGTTTTCCAGGCGGTACTAACGCACCGCAAGTCACTGCAGCGCGGAATAATCGCGGATACCCATAAAAGATGTAATTTCAGATAAGCTGAAACAGACGAGCCCCGCCCTCTGCCTCCCGCCCTCCCACCACGTTCTCCCTCGCTGCCTACTTTCTAATGACTAATTATTATGCTGTGCGTTCTGAGCTTTAGCATCAACGAGTGAGGCCTACCTGCTTTGACTTTGCTACATTTATTGCCACCACCAACATTTTTATTCAGTACCTGGATCGTACTCGTCGTTACTGTACTCGTCACAATTATGAACACATTAGATTACTAAAAAAGCCCTACTTACTGACTTCATCCAATAATCTTAAGGTTAACGCATAAAGCTTGTTAATAATTTATAAAAAACCGGAGGCCTTAAACATTATACATAAAAAGGTTCTCATTAACATTAGATTTATATAGACATTATTACCTTATCAACAATAACAACTTTAATTGGCAAGAAACAATGGCATTTTAATTACGTTTTAATAATTGTGCCATCAAATGCGTGCCGTTTGCATAACGGGCTGTTTCGAATGGGTAAGTTACGATTACCTATATAGGCATGAATAATTTGTAATTGATAATTAAGAGAGGTTCTTATGACCGCTGAACGTGGTCGCCAGCGCCGGCGCCGCGGCGATGTCGCCGATAGAGGGCGCCGCGCGTCGCCGGCCTAGCTCTGCGATGTGTGTGATACCGATACTACATTAACATAATGTTCGCATTCTGTAGAGCTACTGTGATGAAAAAACACTTGCATATATATAGTTCACTATTGTTTTCATAAAAAAATAGCTACATTAATTTAGAGTGATACCCTTTATGGAAAGCAGACCTCCAACTATCTATAATTATAACTAAACTTTCAATTCCTGCCTTTTACGTTGCTCGACTTAATAGTGAAAAAAAAGAAATATAGAAAATATGCAATAAAATATATGTTTTGGAAGTTTTACTAAAGTCATTATCATTATTATTATTATTATTATGTTATTATCATTATTGTCATTGTCTTTTTATCATTCAAGAGAGTCAAAAAAGCAGTGTCATTTTTTGTATAAAGCTGTAAGAGTTTGGTAACCTGCCCTTTATTCAACATCAAAAAACATAAAATATACCTAACAACTCATGTAGACAAACGTGGAAGCTTGCCTACTTACTTTTTGTTATTAGTATTTTATATAAAGAAACAAAGAAAAAACCTTTCATTATCTGAATAATCTTTTCCATTTAACCATTGTTTTCATCGCAAAATTAATTCCTTTTTAAAAATATACCTATACAAATAGCCACAGAAAAAAATCAGAACAAACTGAACTTTTCATGTTTAACTTGATAGACTCATGTAAGTACTAGTTAAAGGTTTTCTCTACGGATTGTACGAAACCGCGTGTATCGGCTAGTACCTGTACATATTATAAGGGTTTGCCCACATACATTTTTCTATTTACGAGTAGAATTCTCTCAATCCTTTCCTTCCTATTTATAGGAATTAATCGAAATATTCCTTCCTATAAATAGGAGGGAATATGTATCGACAAGATGGCGATGACCAAGTAAATCGTCCGAATTATACAAATAGCGTTTGCCTAACTGCACCAACATATTGGCATATGTTCGTGACTAGTTTACGAGTGCCACGACATTGCATATTAATTGGTGTCGCTATCGAGCCGCGCATCGTTGCGACCTAGCTTCAACTGGAGTTATCTGCACATGCTAACGTATTGTCATATATTTTGTGTGCATGTATGTGTATTGGAAAAATATGTGCAGAAGAAACTGCCATATTAATATTTGGTATGTGTAACTTTGTGTAGGCTGAATGTCGAAATGTTTAAGTTCGACATTCACACTGAAACCACATGGTGTTTCGTCACAAGAACCTCTATCGCAATAAAACAAGGTTGCAGGTATTACACTCTAAGAATAAAGCCACCTAGAATACCTGCAACCTCGACCTTAACTTGTTAAGTAGGTGCTCTCTTGCTACCTTCTAGAAAAGAATTTCCGGTCGTCTTTTCAAGCAATCCGCAATTATTTGTACTCTGCACTCGATCACTCTGATTTTTGTTTACTAACCTCTACCAATATGGCTGGCAAAATTTGCGTGTCTCACATCTCGCTTTAGTAAAGGTCGACACAGGAACGTTCAATTTGCCATTTTCATAAATCATATAATATCCCCTTTGACTTTGATCACCATCTTCTATTGCAGTCATCGTAAAATCGCGGTATTGCTTGCCGTCAAGGTCCTCATCGGAATTGTTTCTATATATACCATAGATCGCACGATTCGATGAAAGAACAGATCTCATTCTTATAAGCTTTAGGGCAACATTGACTGCACGGATGGCGTAGCGGTTTAAGCGGTCGCCACGCCGCTTCCTACTACGCCGAGTGTTGTGGGTTCAAACCCCACATGGGACGACACTTTGTGTGATCCACAAATTGTTGTTCTGAGTCTGGGTGTCCTTTGTGTCCGTTTCATGTATGTTTATAAAGTCCCCCGCGACACAGGATTTATTCCTAATCTTGTCTTTAAAAAAATAAAATAAAATAATTAATACTAGAGCGATTATTTTACTCGCTCATTTTGTCTCCTATGAAGTTCTGATAACCACTGTTTAAAAAGTAAAACCATAACACTATACTGTTGATTAACCTGAGCCTGCTCACCTTTGCCGAAAATACCCCACGGCAAAGGTTATCACCTATGTGATCCGGTATGTCTCCTCCTTCGGTACACTTTTACAAATTATTAGAAAAATAAAACACTAAAAACACAGTCTTTAATATATATTTTTTACACATTTATTTGAATTATAAAAATGAGAGTGGGCTCAAATTAAAACTTAATTTTACATTTTAGTTTTGGGGAAAAAAAGATACTCCAGTCGTTAGTAAAATGTGCTACACATTTCGGGTTCGATATCCTTGACTTGAAATGTTTACAATTTTATACCTACTGTGGTCGAAGTTGAACCATAATTCATTAAGTTTTTATTCCCTATTTTACCATGTGTCATCCATTTTTGTATGACATGGCATTTGGTAAACAATTTAATAAAATAAAATTAATTAAGTAACTTCCTTCATTAGATAAGACTAAGATAGCTATCTTAATTAGTAAAAACAAAGTGTAAAGTTTTGTATTCATTTAACAAAAAGCAAAACTCCTAAATAAAATCACTTTATGCTGAACAAAATCCGCAATAATTTAAACGAGACCTTTTACATTGTTGTAACAAAGCTATCAGCAACTAGCAACTAAACTCATCACCGCATTGGTCAGTATGGTGTGCGCTGCACTCGACATAGTACTGTGATAGAACGGATAGAGCGAGCGCAGTCTAATATGCAAATGTATTTAAATGCTAAGCCCTCTTCATTACGTCGGTATCGATCTTAGATATACAATTTGTAACTCGATAGGTGCATAAGTCTAACGAATCTCCTGTTAATACCCCTTGTTAATGCGAATTTGTTGGCGTTTGTGTACTGCTTACTTTATTTGAAACCTCTCTTTGAAAATTTACAATACTACGTATTCGTAAGGTATTCGTCGTTAAGGTAATTGATAAGTCACCTGACCTTTAAAAAAAAGTTGATCCGAATTCAAACAATACTAGCAAAGAGCACTAAAATAATATAAAAATTACAAATATTCCCTGATTTTTCTACAATTTAAAAAATACCTGTATTTTAAAATCTAATTACATTTAATATGTGTACTTCTATGTAAGTATAATAACTATGTAGCAATGTACTTATGCATATTCGTTATATCTAATGTAGGTTTATCTCTCATTTACCAAACCTTTATGAAGTACCACAAACTTAAAACGAGAATGCTTAATGGCATTAAGTCCACCTTTTGCACCATGTACATTAAGTTTTAAATAAATAAATAAATGTGTAAGCATACATAAGCTCACTCTAAGATATGTCAAACGCCCACGGTTTATTTATTTAGTCCCACTTATGCAATAGGGGCAACTGGACACTTTAGGGATGATTTCGGAAAATTAAGAGTATATTTAAGGAAAAGGTAGCAAGGAGAAAAGGTATCGCTTATTTGGAAAGAATCGGAAGCAATAACTTGATATTATTATTTTGAAACTAGTAAGTTGTTAAAAATGAAGTAATTAAGACACTGTTGAAATACATGTTACATTATCAACTTGCTGACAAAGGCAGTGCATTATTTTGTGTCTACATAAGATTTAAGCTTATAGTTGCGTGTATGAATAAAATTATTGGTTTAAAAAAATTAGTGATGTGGTGAATATTCATCAGGTCGCTACCGTCTATATTCATCAGGTCGTAGAATATTCGTAAAGTAGAATATAGAGGTAAGATATATTGGTAAAAGCTAGGGTTACTTCTTCCTTGGGGGTCTGAAATAACATGGTCCGGGTCCTCTTCCGAGTACTTAAGTCCGGCCGTCAGGGTGGTTTTTAGTGGAATCACCACATACTCCTGGCGGTTATATCCCCAAGTAGGCGGAGATCTAAAGGGATTTTCCACCCAGTCACCAAAAAGAAAAGGGTTACTTCTTCTTTAATTTTAAACTAATTTCACTGGCTAAAAGATAAATAGAGAATAAATATTATTAAACTATCAGTATTTGTGAAGTTTCGTATTAACGGTTAAATTATTTTGTTTATTGTCACTGATTTAATTATTTGGTTAAAACATAAATAAATTTTACATTACAATATTGTTGTGTTGCCCTTTATTCCTTCCAATTTTTCGTTAAGTAAATTTAAATTCGAATTTTTGAAACTTCTACAAAACTGAAAATGTTTACTAGAAGTGATAGTTTATATCATTGATAGGGTTATAGAACTGTAGCTCTATAAGCTATTCTGAATAACCAAACTACGTATAGTTTATATGTACTCATTATTAAACATAGCTGGGTTATTTCAGTACCTACTTATTATTTACATACTTATAAATTAATAATATTTTCTAAAATAACAAAGCTGCCGATAACTGAAGTGACTCTATAATTAACGAGTCGTAAAGGAAATGTAAATGTCAGTGATTAGTCTCACATTATATGTTTAAAATTGTTATAAAAAGAAATGAAACCCTAGTTAAGGTACTAGTAAAACATCTTCCGCTCTACAGAATTATCAATATGTCAGACTTCTGTAAATTAAACTTATAGCTGCCCCGAGGAGATTTCTTTCTTCTAATAAGATCAGAAGGCCTACAGTATTTTGACCTAACTTTTCTTACGAGAATTGACGTTCAGTACAGCAAGCGCGCCACAATGCTTTTTATTGTACGGTGGGAATTGTAACGGCGCCCACTTCAACGTTAGAAGTGGCATTAAATTTAACCAATTAAGGATGGCGTAGTCACCTCGCCGTTACTTACTATGCTGAGTATTGTGGATTCGATCCCCACATGAGACAACACTTTGAGTGATCCTCAAATTGTTGTTCTGAGTCCTTTGTGTCCGTTTCTTGTATGTCTCTAAAGTCTCCGCGACACAGGATATATACTTAGTGCGGGACTTGTCTTCTAAAAAAACATAATTCTAAACATTTTAGTATTCTCATTCGTGAAGAATATCTAACTTGTTATGTGTGATATATTTTTAAGGAAAATTGTGAAGGAAGCAAACAAAGTGAGTAATTATGGAATACTCTGAATTGCGGGTAAATTAACTACTTCTAATAGCTATAAAATAACCAAATGGAACCTACAGTTTTCTAGCTATACGTATACGTATTTATATATAACATACGTCGAGTCTAATTATACACTCATGATATATCTGTACTGTACAACAATGTGTTGCCAAATGCCGTAATTAATTGTTGTGTACAAATTTTCAAGAGTTTTTTTCTTTTTTTTTTTTTGTTAGAGGGCGCAGGTGAGCAGACGCGTCACCTGATGTAAAGTGACTATCGCCGCCCATGAACGATTGCAACTCAGGAGTCACAAACGCGTTGCCGGCCTTTTAGGAAGGAGGACGCTCTTTTCTTGAAGGTCGTATCGGTCCGGAAATACCGCAGATGATAACCCGTTCCACAGATTGGTTGTGCGGGGCAAAAAGTGTCCCGAAAAGCGCACAGTAGTGGAGCGCCAACTATCCAGGTCTACTGTGACCAGCAACTTTATTTAACTCTCTAATATCAAGAAAGACGTACCTGCCTGTCACTGTCCAAATTCGATTATTTTTAAACGAAAATTTAAATGAGTGAGGAAAAGCTTTTTGTCAAAGATTTCACTTTGACTTAAGCTTTTACTCAAGGACTCATACTTATACTCGTGTGATATATAAATATGTATTTAGGTAGGTATTACTCATACTGATATATTCTATTACTCACTTATACCAAACGAGTCGCATTCCTATTCATTGAATTACAATAGATAATGATTCCTTGCAAATTCATGCTCACGAACGTGGTACTAATTAAAGTGAATCTAAAAATCAGTATAAATTCACATAAAATTAAAAGAGAAATTCCTACACAATTAGACATTGGTTTTATGCTTATAGACTGCTGTTAGCTATTTGTATTCTAGCAAGTGTAAGCGATCCAATCAGATTAATCTTAAATATTTATTGCACATAGTGTATTGGCAGCCGGAGGTTTGTTAAATTAGTATGATGATGGTCACTCCGATAGTGGAGAAAATTGTAAGCGTTGACGAACGTGGGTGGGCTGCCAGCCGTTGATTAAGACACGATGAATAACAATCTCTTGACCGGCATGGCGACATTATTTTCAAGTTTTTGATTAATTTTGACGAAGGCGTGCATTGCCAGCTATGATGAGAATAATTTTATGAATAGTGGTGAAGGAGTATACGGTCGCACTAATGTGTTTAAACATTCATTTCATAACTTTCAATAATAATACACTGCACGGATCGCACTGCACTGCACGGATGGCGTAGCGGTTTAAACTGTCGGAACGCCGCACCAGGACTTCGTGTTCAGACGCAAGGCGGTCTTCCAGCGTGTGCTGGGTGGAGTCCCAGTTGGCTGCACAGTGCTGGCATTGTGCCGTCTTCCGATCCGATTCAGGTGCTCACCTAAGCACCCATGCCCGCGTACCCGCGTTAGTCGGTAGGTGAACGGTAGGTTAGGCAGAACGCCACCGACAGCGCGTTGGCGTGTATTCCGCACAACTTCCTCCTCCGCAAGTCACATTGAATCCTACCAAAGTTGATTTTATTATTTGCTATCTCCTCTTTCTCTTGCATCAACAGCCTTTAATAGCCCAGCGCTTCCTTAGGCCCTTCCTAAGGCCGTCCTTAGAAAGGAGGTTTTGGCCTACTATACCAT